TATATATATATACACGTATATATATATATATGTATATGTAACATTTTATATAACCATTTTATATAACTATTTTAATATGATAATATTTTGATTAGAACTTTATTTCTTTGAAAGTTTTGAGTTTTTTCTTATTGTTGCATATCCCGCTTTGTTTGTCTATTATTTCTACTAAGAATAGTTTTAAAACTATAAAAGTTTCGAAGTATACATACATTTATTTTTAATATGATTTATTTATATAATTTTAAACATTTTTTATTCATGTTTTATACATTATAAGATTTCAAAAAACTGGAAGCAGTCTCAATGATANAAATCTGAATTTCTTAAACGTTTTTATCTTTGATACTACAGACAGTTACTATAGACATTTATTTTTATATTTGTATTATTTTCATGTGCAGTGTATGTCCATCATGCCAAAAGATATTAAATTTTTGTCAAAAAGACGAAGAAATCAAATTCTTCAAAAATTACAAAATAATAAATATTTTGATTCCATCATATCAAATATATCATCTAATATAATTGAAGAAACGGCTAATACTTCCGTCAAAAGTCATAGCATATGTACAAGTAATTTATTAGTTGCAGATATAAATAAGGAAAATGAATTATTAGTAGAATTGCAATATAATAACAATGAATTGGAAAACACTGAAGAGCATATTCTTGAAACAAAGCATAACATGTCTCCATTAATAGATATATCTTCTTATAATAATGAACAAAGTTTAGGAGTAGATTTACAAACTTTTATTATTGAACATAATATTCCTCATAACAGTGCTAATGAGTTACTTCGAATTCTAAGAAAATATGGTCATGCAGAATTACCTAATGATGTTAGAACTTTAGTTCATACACCAAGAAACGTATCTGCAAAAATTAAATGCATGGGTGATGGTCATTATGCACATTTTGGACTTACGTCTGGTCTAGAGCGATCTATAAGAATATATTCTAAATTTATTAAAACCAATGAAATTAAGATAAATGTAAATATTGATGGTTTACCAATTGCGAAAAGTTCTAGTAGCCAATTCTGGCCCATAATGGCATCTATCGAAGGAATTGATGTTTATACATCACCATTTATAATTGGAATATATCACGGTATGAGTAAACCGAATAGCGCTAATGAATTTCTAACCAATTTTGTAAATGAATTTATATTCTTCTCTAGAAATAACATTACTGTTTGTAATAATAAATATTCAGTCAGTATTAACGCTATATTATGTGATGCTCCAGCAAAATCATTCATTACATACACAAAAGGCCATACGGGATATTTTTCGTGTTCAAAATGTATACAAGAAGGCGATTTTGTTCAAAATAGAGTAATTTTTCCTGAAATAAACAATATTTTACGTACAAATGATTCTTTTAAAAATCGAATTCAAATTGAATACCATACAGGAAATTCTATATTAGAGAATCTTTCAATTGGAATGATTTCACAAATACCATTAGATTATATGCATCTTGTGTGCTTAGGTGTAATGAAACGTTTGTTGCAATTGTGGCTTAGGGGAAATAAAAATATTAGATTATTAACAGAAGATATTGATTCAGTTTCGCAACACTTGATTGCAATTAGGCATTACATTCCATCTGAATTTGCAAGAAAACCTCGAAGTATACATGATGTAGATAATTGGAAAGCTACAGAATTCCGACAATTTTTATTGTATACTGGAATGATCACAATGAAATCAAAATTATCTTCCACTTGTTATAATCATTTCCTCGCTCTTAGTGTTGCGATAAGAATACTGGCTGATCCGCAATTATGTATGACATTTAATTCCTATGCAAAGTCATTATTATTATGGTTTGTTTCAAATTACGGGATTATTTATGGTGAGAAATACTTGTCGCATAATGTTCATAATTTGTTGCATTTAGCAAATGATGTCAAAACTTTTGGTTGTTTAGATAATTTCAGTTGTTTCAAATACGAAAATTATATGCAAAAAATTTAAAAAAAATTGCATCAATCTGGAAAACCTTTGCAGGAATTGACTAATCGTATCTTTGAGGAATTAAGACAACCAATTAAGCAGTGTTCTATAGTTAAATATCCAATTGTTGTTTACACAAGCAATAAAAAAATTTCATATTTTCAATATAAAAGCTTCACAATTGCAATAAACGATGTCGACAAATGTGCTTTACTTCATAATTCTGTGATCTTTATTTTGGATGTATTTGAAAAAGAAAACGTATTATATTTTCGAGTGCAACGATTCTTAAACCCAAGATCTCTTTTTACTATGCCATGTCCTTCAGAAAGACTAGGAATATTTATTATATCAAAGGCAACTACCTATGACATAATCACAGTTCCTGTAACACAAATAGAAAGAAAATGTTTACTACTTAAAAGTATTGATGAAGCTGATTCTTACATAACAATACCGCTTCTTCATAGTAATAATTAGATGATATATGTTCAAAAATATTGTTATAGTTTATTTGTAAAGATTCTTAAAAAAAAGTATTAATATTCTTAGTATATTATTATTCTTTTTAAAAAAGTATTATTATTCTTAATATATTATTATTCTAAAAAAAAGATATAATATGATAGTTCTTCATTTTTATCTTCTTCGTCTTTATAAACAAAAAATTTAAAAGAAATTTTGCAAGTTCTGCATTATCACTTAAAAAGTCAACAAACATTTCAAAGGTAAATATTTTAAGTCAAATATTTTAATGTTTTATTTCTTTAGATCTTTTTAGTGATCTAATTGTGCAAGTTAATTAAATATCTTGCAATTACAATCGAAGTCACAACAATAAGAAAACTATTAAATACAAGTTTTATAATAACTAGTGTTTGTATAATAATGAAAACAAATTTTTAATAATAATTAAAACAAAGCTACTGTGCTTTTTAATGTTAATAGGTAACATTAAAGATTTGAACAATTACTCTTTAATATCTTGCTTTTCTTTACTAACTAAAATACTATCTTTTGTTTTAAGGTTTACATGGAAAAAATGGATTGTGGCGAATTGAAAGAAAATAAAAAATACGCCGTTGTAAAATTCTTCTCTGATAATAGTTATTCTGAAATACCAACAGCGTGGCTTGTAATAAATGGAGATAAGGAGCTGTGCTGGTGGCCGCCCCGAACAGCTAACGCTTCATTGTTAATAACAAACTGCACAAGTCCTACTTATGATTCGTGGAATCTACACGAAGTTAAAATAGTAAAATACTGTTGTAAGTGCATTAAATCTCGCCTTTATATTTTATTATTGTGATATTTGATGCTTTTCCGGTATGTTACATTAATATTTAAAACTGATTTTCGAGTTTTAATTGTGTTATTGTTATTGTCATACTGACGTTTTGTAAATATTTTATTTCATTTCATCAGAGTTTCAAGAGCAACTTGAGATGCGGCTAGCCATCTCTAATAATCTAGCGCTAACGAGATACCTGGCCAGAAGCATCTCAATATCAGGTTGCTCTTGAAACTCTGATGAAGTGAACTGAAATGTTCACAAAACATCGGTATAAAAATAACAATAACACAATTAAAACTCGAAAATTATTTTTGAATAATCTATTAGTGCAACACATAAAAATTCAATTGAAAAATACGTTTTTATTATAATAATTATATTTTGTATAGAAAATGCAAAAATCCTTAAAAATTAACAAAAATAAGTATGCAATAAATATCCATTCTTTTTACTTCTTGTAGCTTCTCTTGAATCTGCTAGAAAAAGTGCAGCTGATGCCTCTTATCAAACTACTGATGAGGAACGATTAGGACGTGGAAAAAGACAACATGTATTTTACAATCGTTATAGCAGCGACGAAGAGTATAGTGATACTAATGCAAACTGCGTATCTCGCAAGGCTAAAAGTATGTATTACAAGCACATGTTTGACTATCTCTCACTTCAAAGTCAATTAAATCTTTTAAAAAGAATTCGAATTCAGGTTAAAGTTTAATAAAACGGTAAAAGTAGGTTTATATTATATTTATTATAATTACATACTTGTATTATTTTATGAGTCATTTTTGTAAAATAGAGATAAGACTAAAATAATATAAAAGTTTATTCTTTAAATACTATAAGCTAATATAAAAAAAATTAAGATTAAAAAACTAATATTTTATATTTTATAGAAAAAGTGGTTAACACAAGCGCTAAACTGTCTACCGTACCATCATGTCCCGACAAGTTTATGTTAAACGATATTTACAATAATAATAAATCTGTAGACATTATAAATAATAATGATGCAAGAAGTGATACTACTGAAGCTTCCGTATCGCAACATTATAGTGGTATGTTTATGTGTGTGTATGTGTGTGTATGTGTGTGTATGTATGTATGTATGTATATATGTATGTATGTATGTATTATTAACATCATTATCATTATTATAAAATAACAAGAAATTAGGGCCAATACGAGGCAAACAGCAGATGTATGTTGCCAATCAATTGTATTTTACTTAAAAATCAAAAATACCAAATGTTTCGACTCCTGATTGAGTCTTCATCAGTGGTACATAGAATAAAACCTTGGTTTTTTCTTTCATGACAAATACCATGTGAGAATTTTACTTTGTTTTGTGTGACAACTGATGCGCGGCTTTGTTTTTATTTTGTTCTATGTACCACTGACGAAGACTCAATCTGGAGTCGAAACGTTTGGTATTTTTGATTTTTAAATAAAATGCAATTGATTGGCAACATACACCTGCTGTTTACCTCGTATTGGCCCTAATTTCTTGTTATTTATTGATTATCGCGAGATCTTTTTTTCACGTTTATCATTATTATTGTTATTATTATGATACATAATTTCAGAAGTAACATAATTTCTTTATAGTTTTTATAACAGTGTATATGTTTCCAGAAAAAAGAAAGAATTCTTCTGTGAAACCTGATAACGTGCAATTTAATATTGCAGATGTGCCGATAATAATAGAAGGTATGTTTGGTACAATATTAATTTGATTATAATATTGTTCAAATATGAATAATTTGATTATATAAAATTAAAAAATATTTGGAAATATTGTAGACTATGTTCCATCTACTAAAGTACGCGAAGAAGCAGAAGAGGACTCTAATATAAAAAGTAAATTTAAAAAAATAATACATGTCATATATATTTTTATATACATATATATATATATATATATATATATATATTTATATTATTATATTAAAGCAGCATTATACACAATATTTTTATTATTTATTCTGCATATGTTACATATTATGACATCTCATTATTTATATAAATATAAATAATAGGATACATATATACATACTTTGATAATATGTATTAACATTATATTTGATTATATATATCACGGCACTTATATTGCAGAATATTTTAAGCAATTACTGCGGATGCAGGCAACAGCAAATTTATTCTTAGAAGACATTAAGCAACGTGTAAGCAGGCTCGAGGATGCAATAAAAAGTAGTGCCGTTACAATGAGAAACAACAGCGATGATAGTCTTATAGCACAAATATTACCTCTTAGCTCTATTGAAAATATAAAAGAATTCGAGTCTTTACTAAAGAACACTGATGAAGCGGTAATGCAATTTGTAAGTACATAACTTTATTTGTCAATTTAATAATCGATTATGTGTTCACGATTTTTGTATTTTTCTATACCGACTGTGTTTTATCATATCATTGAAATTGATTATTATCATAAGAAAATGGAATGTATTCTAATTGTCTTGTTTTTGTTTTAGAAAGAATTTTTACTAAAAATTGGAGGCAATAATTTAAGAGATACTATTCATCGCACTTTATCAAAAGTATTTACGAATGATTGTGCACTAAAGTGTTCCTGGAAAGGAATACGAAATAATTTTAAAGTTTCAGATTTATATTTCGTTAAAATTATGCGAAGTAAGTTGTACATGTATTAGTCAAAATTTGCTGTTTTATATATCATTTTACTAATTTTATGTTTTTTTCCAAAAGAAATTATTTTACAACATTCACCTATGACGGAGACGGAATTCGACAACATCGTAGCTGAATGGCTACGTTTCGCAAAGCAAAGAAAACGAAGAGAAGAGAAAGGAAAAGATATAATAGAATGTGGACAAGGCACAGTAATTAATTCATAAAGCTATGCATTCAGAGTTTTTATATATTTATAAATTTTTATATATTCTTTTGAGTTTTACGACATTTAAAAGTCAGTATAAGTCATATGTTAATAAGTCTTTGAGTTTCATGAGTTTAAAAACCCAAGCAACCAGCTGACGTTGTAATGACGTAAATATACGTGATTTTTGTCGCTAATTGGTGATTATGACCTAAATCTGACGTTATTTTGAACGTCATAACAACGACGTCAGTATATACGTCACACATATACGTCATATATGATGTAACTATTGGTCTTTGGAGTAACGTCAGTTGAAATAAGTGAGTAAGACGTCATAATGACGTTATTTAAATAACACGGTAGTTAAAAATTTGTTTTTGAGTATATATT